TGGTAGTAGTAGTAGTAGTAGTAGTAGTAGCAGGAGTCGTAGTAGTAGCAGGAGTAGTAGTAGTAGTAGTAGTAGTACTACTACTACTACCACTACTACTACTACTACTACTACTACTACTCCTGCTACTCCTGCTCTTACTACTACTACTACTCCTGCTACTACTAGTAGTATTCTAGAGCACAGTACCTGTTTTGCTAAAAGAGAGATTGTCGATCACCTTCAGGTGCTGGTCCTTTTGGAACCGGATTCGCAGGAGGCACGGGCATCTGGCCAGCTTCCGATCGACCTTTAAATTGCTCTCTATGCTATACATGCTATGTGCTATCGTGCCCAACCCAAGGCCTGAAAGCCTAAATCGGCTTTTCCTTGGCCTGCGAATCGACGTGAACTGCCGAAGTTTTGCCGGCGATCCGAAGCATCGTGTCGGCCCTGATGCAGGCTGTAGCCGAAGCGGATGGAAGTGGCCGGACCGTGCTGCATCTTTGTCGACGGCCCAGTACCCGAGGCATAGTTCAAGTGTATCATTTGTCAAAAAAAATAAGAAAGTACTAGTAGCGATTGGTGCATCAGAGAACCATCTGCCCTTCTGGTGTATCCATCTGCGAGGCGCGACTTGGCCAGACAGCGCCGAGGCGGCCGAGGCAACCTGTTCTCATGGTCTTCCCTGCTTGTGGATACTATCCACAAGCCCCATGACTATTGAAACTTTCATCGCTTTACAGAAGGAATGACCCAAATTCAGCCAGACAGGCCGTCGGGAGCTTGCTCAAAGCCAAGGCCTTGCATCCCTCGCTGTTCCGAAATTTCAGTGTGGTTGGGCACGGGCGTCCTAGCTAGGGGATCGGGTTTTTGCAAGGTTGCGGCGAGGACTTCGGCATGCGTTGGGAGTATCGGGTTTAGGGTACTCTATAATATCTTTAGGGTACTCTATAATATCTATACCCTTGCTTCCTGAGTTTGATCCAACCTTCTGCTAGGAGTTTGCCTTGGGCAGGTCATGCACTCAGGTCACCTTTCGATTAGATCTGTGCTGGTGCCAAAACATATTTGATCATGCCGTGGGTCCTTGGCGCTCGCTCTATGTCGAACTCCCGCACTGGACACTCCGGCATGTAAGGACGTTTGGGTTCACAAGCACAGGAGTTTCTCAATAGCAACGGTGAGGCAATTATCAGCAGCTGGCTAATTTACGAGCATCAGGTGTTCTCAACATCTCATTATTCAACCGTGACAGGCAAATCCAGACGCAACCGATGCCTTTGATCGGACCCCCTTGGAGGCCTGTCCTGCGCTGAGGCTAATACTACAGCTGCAGTTGGCAATGTGAGGGGTTCTGACATACATAATCGCTGGCCAGTATTTACAGACGTTCCGATAGAAGCTTCCAAAAGCCCACGCCTAAACTGGGTTAAGGATTGTCGCCAACTTAGCTCAGTCATATCCTCTTTGGACCACGAAGACCAGCTGTCATGCGTTTGAATTTGGGCTCTCCTGTGGCTGAGCACCACCATGGTGGTACATGCTATCTGAGACAGTATCAAATTGACCAAATTCACAGTTCGAAGGCTCGAATGGAAGGATCGGTTTGCAGTGCTTGCAGCATTGCTGGAGCTGATATACATGGGTGATTAGGCGTCTGTATGCATGTACATATACATACATACCTACATACCTACATACATACATACATACATACATACATACACACACACACATATATATATATTCATATTTACACTTACATATGTATGTATGTATGCATGCATGCATGCATGCATGCATGCATGTATGTATGTATGTATGTATGTATGTATACAAGCATGTGTATTTCCTTACATATGTATGTATATATATATATAAAGCATGTGTATATCTGTACATATGTATGTGTATGTGTGTATATATATATATAATGCCACAAAAGTTGCCCCGAAACCTCGCCTGCTGCGACGAGTGCGAGTGCTAAACTATATATATAATATATATATAATATATATATATATATAGATATAGACTCAAGTGACCAGCAAGTGTGTGTCTATATATATATATAATTTAGTATAAATATAAATACGAACATATAAACATTATATATATATATATATCTGTCTGTCTGTCTGTCTGTCTGTCTGTCTGTCTGTCTGTCTGTCTGTATGTATGTATGTATGTATGTATGTATGTCTGTGTGTGTTTGCTTCATAAGTGCATCTGTATGATGTGGTACAAGCAAGGTGTGTCTTGCATCATGCTAGCTACCGGCAAATACAAAGATTTTTTAAACGGAAAGGGGTTTTCAGAAACTAGGGCCTAACCCGGGGGCACTATAATTGGGTTTCCTGATGTTGAAAATGCTACAATTTGGATTTTCATACTGAGGTCACCACTTTCAGACTGCAATGTCATGCTGCAGGTGGCTTTGGAGACGGCTTGCGCAAAGGACTGTGACGATCCAACTCCAGCCGGGGCTGCAGAACGATTTTTGGAAGGGTGTCAGGGTTAGGGCTTTTGGGTTTGAGGTTTAGTCAGGGGGGATAGAAGTTACTTGCAGAGTTGCGCATTTTTTTCGGAGTATAGGTGCTGAGGTGCTAGTTTGGGGTTGTATTAACGGAATTCTATCTGGCAGCTACGATGGGCAAGTCCCGTTTGGCTGGCTGGAAGAATGGCCGTTGATAATACGCTGCCATGGCTGCCGTGCTGCGATGATTCAATTGATGATGTTTTGTGTCAACACGTGCATGCAGCTAAGCGGGCCTTGTGACATTCCAGCTTGAATCCGGCATGGTCTACATTGTCTACACTCCCAAAGCAAGCTTGAAGCCAATCCAGTCAAGCTTTGCACCCAAAAGCGACTGCGGTGCACAAGCGAGCAAACGCGGAAGCCCAGTCTCTGCCATGGCATCAGGTCCTCGCACTTTGCGCTGCTTTGATTTGCAGAGGGCGGCCTCGACGCCCGGCCGCTGCTCTTAGAATTCACAAGTCTTCCTTACTTTTCTATTTATGCGATTGTGAGATATTGTGATTGCCCTAAGGTCCAGCTTGCCAAGCAAGCCGCCTGCACGGCTCTAGGCTGGGGCCATGCGTGTGTTCAAGGGCTGCAAACTTCCCGCTGCATTTCTGGCTGTTCCCCCTTCTTCTCAATTTGGCTCCAAATCATTCCCGTGAAGGCAGCGCCCTGATAACGTTTCTACAAGATCGCAAAGTCGACCTGCAAGTGGAAGGCAGGCATTGGCTCGGCTTTGGGGTTCTTGGCAACTTGTGTTGCAGCGGTTTCAACAAGGTGCTTTGGAGTGCTGTTGGTGATCACAGCAACGCCCCGCCATGCTGGCAGAACCCAATCCAGATGCTACCAGCACCGAGTTGAGTGGTGAGACCAGAATCCAATTCAGAAGAGAACTGTCCAAGTAGTAAGCCATAGACATTCGAGTCCCTCATGGCAGGTGAGGACTGCACACCTGCGGAAGAGGAGGCTTGCGCTCCGACAGATCCGCGATTGAAGGGTTTGATTCCCTGACTTGGACCTTTCCTGTGAAGTAATATGTCAGGTTTGGAGCAGGGCGCAAACTGTGCACAGGCACCAGAGACAGCGGACGATGCTGCAGCCGGTGCCGTCCCTGGCTGCGTTCCAACATTCCATCCGCCAAAATCACGTCCACGACTGCCCTTGGGCGGTTGCTGAAAAATCAAGTCCTAAGATCCATCATTCCACGGGACGGGACGGGAGAGGATTCATAAATCGAAGCACCAAAGGTGGCACTGCAAAACCTGTCTGCGAGGGGAACGGAGCCAGGAATCATTGGTTCACCAGGAAGCGGCTGAGTGGATCCTTGAGAAGCCTAATTAGTTCCTGGAATCTGCTGGGCTCTGAGGCGAGGCGGTGAAGGCTGACGCGCCGAAACGTGCCTCACGCTCGGGGGATGTGGCTGGCATTGGCCCGTCAGGTGATCGGTGCTCGAATTTTGCTTGAATGTTGCTGATTTCAAGGATGCTTGAGACAGCATTGTGGGGATCATGGAACCTCTTGCTTCTGGCATGGCGTGATGCAACGGGGGATGCATCAAGCCATGGGGGCTCTGGTCCGTGCGGCAGGGACCGTTTACTCATGGGATGTCATTTACTTTCCATGCTGCCTCGCAGGTTTTACAGTAAGTGTTGGGAGGAGGTCGTCAAGCCTGAGGCATCCAAAACAAATCAGTTGACCTCACTCCCGGAGTCATTATGATCATTCAATCCGCACTTCTGACTCTGCATCTCATCAGATTCATTACGTGCTGATTCCAAGACGCTCAATCCTGTTCCACTCCCTCATAACTTGTTGCACGACAACCAATCGCATACCAATCGCCTTACCTAGTGACCTAGTACTTTCGGAAGGTGATCAAAGAATGCCCGCTGTGGAGACAGCAACTTCAGCGTATCCGCCTCTTCCGCTACCTACTCCTACAACACCAGCGATGATTTCTACCGCCTATTGCTACAACAGCTTCTACAGCAGCAACCACTACAAGAAGAAGAGAAAAACACAGCACCAGCAGCACCACCGACACCAGCAAAAGCGGTTACCGATTGAAGCACCTCTTATCTCTGCGGTGTTGAGTTGGTGATGCCAGCCCAGTACGTGCTTTAAGTCGGCAGAGTTGACCGGATCAGATCCGTAGTTTTGGAGTTTCGGCTGTGGGCGGCAAACCAGTAGGATTGTGTTGGAACTCGGTCTGATGTGAGCCGCCTTCCATGCAGCTTGGCTCAACGCAAGCGGTGAGCGAAGAAATGAAAGTAGAACCACGAAAAATATTTCCTGCCCACAGGAAGCAAAGCCATTTTGCGGCACGTGATCTGCCACATGCTGGTCAAAGGGAGTTTTGGTTAGGTTGGGGTGAAGCACAGCATGTGCGCATGAACAACCGCAAACGGCGTAGCTGCCTAAGCACTCTGGCTCGACGCACGACGCCTTCAGCTTTTCAGATAGATCCCTTGTGCCCTCGGCGGTCATGGCCTCCCAGGATCCAACGGCGGTTGCCTTGCAGCTGGTGGCGGCGGTGACTGCGGCCCGACGAACTGGCCTGGTGCCGGTCGTGGGCCTTTTGACGGCGGACCAGGTGGCAGATCTGAACGACCTGACCACGACGGCCAACCTGGTCCAGCAGGGGATTGCTGAGGCGGCGGCGGCGGCAGAGGAGGTGCAGAGCTTTGCCCCGATGGTGGCTGGAGGCGTCGGCGGTGGATCGACGACGCCATCTGGGGCCCAGACGCCAGCATCGACGGTGGGGGTGGCCCCTCCTGATTTGGCCATCAGCTCGACGCCCACGACGCCAAGGAAGGTGCCCCCACCGGTGCCCAAGGAGGCGGAGGCGGCGATCCCCACACGGCGTCCGGTGATGAAGGCGCCTCCCCAGGTTCCTGCTACGACGTGGCGGGTGACGCCCTTGGACCAATTGCCGCGGAAGGCGGCGCCTACATCGACGGCTACCTCGGGGACCTCGACGCCAGCCCAGGTGCAGGTCAAAGCCATGCCTCAGCGACGCCTTCCCGCCTCACCTCGTGCTGCGGCGGCGCCTTCGACGCCCGCGGCACCGATGGCACCGATGCCTTCCGCTCCTCCGACGCCAGCGGCTACAGGTGGCGAGACGCCGGCGGACTACTTTGCCACTCCGGCCGCCAAGGCTCGTGCGGCGGCTCGGCTGGCAGCTGGGACGGATCCTTTCGACGCCACTCTTTCTATGAGCGCCTCGGCGTCTGGGCTGGCCACCCCGGCGCAGTCTACAGCAGGACGGCGCCCACCCAACATGCAGGAGATCCGGGCGGCGCTCAATGTCCAGACCGAGGCGATGGCTGCGGTGGCTCCTTAAGCGACGGCTTCCACAAGACCGACGTCACCTAAGGCACAGGGGAAGGCACCGCCTGAGGCGCTTATGCCCCCGACGACGCTCATGGCACCGGAGCCGACGCCGGCGGCAGACCACCAGCACATCGACCCGGACCTTGGGATCCCGGCGGTCACGACGGTGGTTGCCGACACCTTCCTGGACACCCCTTTGGAGCCGACGGCGTCGGCGCAGGAGTTCTTGGGCCCGGCGCCACCACCGCGGCCTTTCTTCAACCTGTCCACGGCCTCGACGACGAGATCCCCGACGCCTCCGTCACCGAGGGTGGACCCGCCTGCGGCGGCTTCGGCCAGCGAGTTCCTGGGGGCGGCATCGGCGGGAGCTCCCGCGCAAGGGCCCATGACGACGGTGCCGGAGGAGGATCGGCCAGAGCCCTGGGAGATGCCTGCGACGGAGCGGCGCTCGATTTTCCCCCCGGTCACGGCGGAGGGAACAGGGGGCAGGAACATGAGGGCACCGAGCGCGGCGCGTCGGCGCGGCTCCGTGGGGCCCTCGCCCGGCCAAAGGGCGCAATGGCGCCGCGACGCTCGGTCCCAAGACGAGCGGCGCCAATACGGCGCGTATGACAGCCGGCGCTGGGGTGGTACCGAGCCATGGACGGCGGAGCAGGTGGACATTCCGGCGGAGTACTACCCCTACAAGGTGTCCATGGAACGGCGGGGGGCCTCGGCGCTCGGCGAGGTTGTCCCCAGCTCTCTCCGCCATTTGGCCTGCGACGACCTGGCGGCGGTCCGCCAAAAGGAGCAGGCGGCGCAGTGGCCCGAGACGGCGCCGAGGGGGGCACAGACCGAAACCGATTACTACTTCATTCGGCGGTTGCCCCAAGGAGTTGCCGGCGCTCGGATTACAGTGCAGCACTCCAGAGAACAGCGGCGCTTGGTGGGATGGTGCGCCCACCCATGCCAGCAGCCCCGCGGCGCCGACAACCGCTGCGACGGATCGAGAAGGCAGGTGCCTCAGGCCCATATCATGATCGGCGCCTACGGCGCGCATGGGAAAAGGGGGCACCGTTGCGCCCTGTGTGGGGGCCTGGTCGGCGGAGGTCGGCGCTAAGCCTTGCACCTCCCGACGAAGCGGAGAGGCCTCCTTTTTGGCACTTTGCCACGACGGCCCCGCTTCCTGAGATTTATGGGTGCTCGACGGTTTGTCGACGCCTCGCACATGTCACGGCGCTAGGCGCCATCATTCTTCCAAGCAGCATGTTCGACGCTCTTCGGCGCCAAAAAGAGGGAGAATCGACGCTGAGTGCTTTGCCCTGTCCGGTTGTGCTTTCTCCGACGTGTCGCCCTAACCCCCCCCTTCCCGGCAGCCGTTTTGCTCGCGACGCGACCACTGCAGACATGGCTCAAGACGCGTCGGCGCCACGGCCGGGCACTTTTGCAGCCTTCCTGGCTGAGGTTGCTGCGGCCGGCGGTCAGGCGCATATGCAGGCATTCGCCGAGCTCGGCGTCACCTCCAGACCTCTTGTGGGACCTGCCGGCCCGGCGCTGGCGGCGGCGGGGGTCCCGGAGCAGGTTATCTTGAACTTGGTGCGGCCGGCGATGCCTGGTCCGGCGTCGTCGGCATTGGTGCCTCGACGGGCCGACCTGCCCTACCGCAGGCCTGTGGCGAAGGCTTCCCTCCAGGCGTCCCTCCAGGCGGCGACCCCGCAGAACATTCAGCAGGCGGTCGACGCGCTCGAGGCCAATGTGGTGGCGGCGTCCACCAGGCGAGCCCTGGACTCTAGGATCAAGTTCTGGCTCAAGCTCGCGGCGACCAACGGCGTCGAGCCGTGGCCGCTGACGCACTGGAAGCTCAAGGTTTTGGCGGCGTGCCTCCGGGAAGGGGGCTACCGTTCCGCCCAGCTCTACATCGACGCGGTGCTGTGGCACCAAGAGCACGTGCTGCAGACCGAGGTACCGACGGGCATGAGGAAGGAGGCTCGGCGCCTTGCCAAGGCGGCGGTGCGGGGCATGCCCGGGACCAGGCTCAAGCAGGACTTTGACCTCGGCGTGCTGGCGGCAGTTGGTCAGGTTCGGGCCGGCGGACGGCCCCTTGGACTGCCGACGGCCCCACCACGCCGTCGACGTGGTGATTGTGGATTTCTGGTTCATGCTTCGGGAGTCGGAGCTGGCCGGCGCCCGGATCCGTGACATCACGCTCTCAGCCGCGGTGTTCGGCGGAGGGGTCTCTCTGGACCTCCCGCTTCACAAGACGGCGCAGGGGGGACAGAAGGAGTTGACACGGCGCTCGCTGAGGTGCGTCTGCACGGCGGCGATCCACCCTCTGTGCCCCGCCTGTGCAGCCCGACGCCACCTGGCACGCCTCAACTTCGACGCCGCCCGGGAACCGGAGTCGGCGCTCTTCCCGACGACGACCACTGAGCTGAGGACCAAGGCGGCGTCGGTGGAGATGTTCGGCCTGGTCCTGGGCAAAGCCGGCGTGGAGACGCATCATACCACACCCGACGGCCGGTCCCTCCCCATCTTCGGGGGGGCAGGCGCCACGTTCCTTGCGGCGAGAGGAGTCACACTGGACCCTCTGGTGGACCTCGACGAGGAAGCTCACTGGAAAGCTTCGGCGGTCATACCGCACCCTTTCCAGGCCCAACCACGGCTGGAGCCGGCGTGGGAGGAGGCCCTGAACATCCGGCGGCGGTGGCGCCACGACCTAGCCAGGATCAGGCGCGAGGTGGTCCAGGAGGTCAAGGATATGATCGACGACCTGGCCGAGCAGACGGCGGAATGGATGTCCCAGCGCTCGGCGGCGGTCAAGGCCACCTATTCCACGCCGGACAAGCCGGCGGTGACGCAGATCCCCGTCCTGCTGGAGCTCCTGCGTTTAACATGGTCGGCGGACTCAAGCCGGGCCCGGGCTGGAAAAAGCGGACCGACGACCGCTATAAGCACCCGGCGTCCATGGAGGAGCTCCGGCGGGTCAACGCGGACTATGTGAGGCAGCGTACCGCGACAGCCAGGGTCGGCGAGCATACCGAGACACTGCTGCAGGAGCTCATCGACGAGGTTAAGCTGGGGCGAGTGGTCGGGCCCGCCAGGGCACCGGCGTGGCTGAAGGCACGGGCGGTGGCCTTGCCGTGGCGCGACGGGGTGGCACACTTGGTGGAGCCTCCGCCTGGCGAGGTGTTCCTGGCGGCGTCCTTTGCCATTGTCCAGATCGACGAGCACGGGAACATCAAGATTCGACGGGGCGAGGATTGGCGGCGCTCCGGCCACAACTCCACTGTGGCGGCGGACGACGTCCCCACACACCATTTCCTGGGGAGCTTCGTGGATTTGGCCCGGCGCATGGCGGGCGATGGCGTGGTCCTGATCTTCGGCCACGACCTCCTCAACGCGTACAGGCAATGGCCTGTGCGCTGCCCGGCGCATTGCGGCACATTCCTCCCCACCGCGGCGGGGATGACCTTTTGGTATCACCTCGCGATGAATTTCGGCGCTACGGCGTCCGTTTGGAATTTTAATCGCGGCGGGGATGCGCTCCAACAGCTGCTGCGTGGCCTGCTGCTCCTGCCGACGGGCCACTACGTCGACGACTTTAACGGTCTCGAGTTTGAGGAGCTCGGCCAGTCGGCGATGGAGGCGTTCGAGCAGCTGTTCGCGGCGCTGGGCTTCCGCATCAAGGTCTCCAAGTCCCAGCCGGCGGCGGCCCAGCACATTGTTCAAGGCGTCCTCTTTGAGATCTCGCGGCGGGGGGTCACCCTCAGCCCCACACCGGAGAGAGTGCGGCGCATCATGGCCCAGATTACCCAGGCACTCCAGAACGACGCCATGAAGCCCGACGAGGCGCACAAATTGGCGGGTCGCCTCTCGTTCCTTACCCAGGCGGTCTTCGGCGGGGTCGGGAAGGCCCCCATCAAGGCAGTGTACGCGAGGGCGGCGGACACGGCGGCCCACTCCAATGATGGCCTGTCCGGCGGGCTCAGGGCGGCGCTGCGCTCCCTAGAGAAGATCCTGCCGACGATCCGCCCCCGCTTCATCCCGTTCAACCCCGACGACATGGACACGGCGGTGCTGTACGCGGACGCCTTCTTCCTGGACGGCGAACAGCGACACAAGGCCGGCCATGTCCCGACGACCGCGTCGGCGGCTGCACCCAACCGGGCCAATAA